GCGGCGCCAGGCCCGGCACCGGCGGCACCGGCGGCACCGGCGGCGCCGGGGAGGAGGCCTGGGAGGCGTTGGGCACCGCCGAGGAGCCCGGCTTGGATGGCACTGCCGGAGAGACACAGTCAGGGAGGGAAATGGGGGAAAAAGGGAAAAAATGGGGGGAAATATGGGGAAAATAGGGGGGAAATGAGGGGAAATACGGGGGGAAATGGGGGGAAAAATAAGGGGAAAAAAGGGAAAATAAGGGGGAAAATGAGGGAAAATAAGGCGGGAAATGGGGGAAATAAATGGGAAAATAGGGGGAAAATGAGGGGAAAAAAGGGAAAACAAAAGGGAAAATAGGGGGGAAATTAGGTGAAAAATAAGGAGAAAAAGGAAAAATAAGGGGGGAAATGAGGGGAAAATATGGGGAAAAAGGGGGAAAATTAAGGGAAATAAGGGGGAAATGGGGGGAAATGAGAGGAAAATATGGGAAAAAAGGGAAAATAAGGGGGAAAATGAGGGAAAATAAGGGGGGAAATGGGGGAGGAAATAAGGGGGAAAATAGGAAAAACAAGGGGAAAAATAGGGGATAATGGGGGAAAATGAGGGAAAAATGAGGGGAAAATAGCGGGAAGATTAGGGGGAAAAAGGGAAAATTAGGGGAAAAAGGGAAAATATGGGGGAAAATAGGGAGGAAATAAGGGGAAAATGAGGGGGAAAGGGGAAAATATGGGGGAAAATAGAGGGAAATGAGGGGAAAATGAGGAGAAAATGAGGGGAAAATAAGGGGAAAATTAGGGGAAAATATGGGGGGAAAAAAGGGAAAATGGGGGAAAAATGAGGGGGAAAAAGGGGGGAAATGGGGGGGAAATATGGGGAAAATGGGGGGGAAATGAGGGGGGAAAACAGAAAATAAGAGGGAAAACAAGGAGAAAATGAGGGGAAAAGGGGGAAAAATGAGGGGAAAAGAGGGGGGAAAATGAGGAGAAAATAGGGGAAAATTAGGGGAAAAATAAGGGGAAATGGAGGGAAAATGAGAGAAAATAAAAAGGAAAATGGGGGGAAATGATGGGAAAATTAAGGGGAAATAATAGGGAAAAATACAGGAAAATAAGGGGAAAAATAAGGGGGAAAATAGGAAAATTAAGGGGGAAAATGAGGGAAAAAAATACATGAAAATGGGGGGGGAATAAGGCAAAATGAGGAGGGAAATGAGGGGGAAAATAAGGGAAGAAATCAGGGGAAATAACCAGAAAAAGAGGGGAAAAAATGGGGGAAAATGAGAGAGAAAAATAGGGGGAGGAAAGGAGGGTAAAAAAAAATGGGTGGGGGGACTTTTAGGGGAAAATTTTGAAGATTTCGGGATTTTTTGGGGTGAAATTCTGGGAATTTTTGGGGGGGGATCTTGAGGATTGGTGGATTTTTTTGGAGGGAATTTAGAAAATTTTTTTGGGAAATTTTGGGATTTTTTTCAGGAATTTCTTGGAGAAATTTGATGATTTTGGGTTTTTTGGGGGGGGATATTGCAGATTTGGGGATTATTGGGGGGAATTTTTGTATTTTTTCAGGAATTTCAGCAATTTTTTTGGCAATTTTGATAGATTTGGAGAATTTGGGGGAGAATTTGGGGATTAATCAGGGGGTACTCTTGGAATATTTCTGGTGAATTTTGAGGATTTGAAATTACTTGAAGGGGAATTTTTGGGTTTTTTTTTCAGGAATTTCAGCAATTTTTTGGGAAACCTCGATGATTTTTGGGGGGGAATTTTGGGCATTTTTTTAGGGGGAATTTTGAGGATTTGGGGATTATTTGGGGGGAATTTCAGGATTTTTTGGGAGGAATTTCAGGATTTTTTGGTGCGACTTCTGGGACTCTTTTCGGGGGGATTTGGGGATTATTTGGGGGGAATTTGGGGATTTTTGGGGAGCCCCACCTGGTTCCTTGCGGGCGCGGCCCCGGCCCTTGGTCTGGGCGATGACGATTTCCGTCTCCTCCGGCGTCATCTCCGAGATCTTCTGCAGGAAAAGCTTCTCCAGAGCTTCTGCCATCAGCACAATGTCATCCCCTGGCTGCAAATTGGGGAAAAAACACAGAAATTAGGGCAAAAAGCTTCTCCAGAGCTTCTGCCATCAGCACAATGTCATCCCCTGGCTGCAAATTGGGGAAAAAACACAGAAATTAGGGCAAAAAGCTTCTCCAGAGCTTCTGCCATCAGCACAATGTCATCCCCTGGCTGCAAATTGGGGAAAAAACACAGAAATTAGGGCAAAAAGCTTCTCCAGAGCTTCTGCCATCAGCACAATGTCATCCCCTGGCTGGAAATTGGGGGAAAAAACAGAAATTAGGGCAAAAAGCTTCTCCAGAGCTTCTGCCATCAGCACAATGTCATCCCCTGGCTGGAAATTGGGGTAAAAAACCAGAAATTAGGGAAAAAAGCTTCTCCAGAACCATGGGAGCATCGATGGAACCACGGGATCATCAATGGAACCATGGGATCATCAATGGAACCATGGGAGCATCGATGGAACCATGGGATCATCGATGGAACCATGGGATCATCAATGGAACCATGGGATCATCAATGGAACCATGGGATCATCAATGGAACCATGGGAGCATCGATGGAACCATGGGATCATCAATGGAACCATGGGATCATCGATGGAACCATGGGATCATCGATGGAACCATGGGATCATCGATGGAACCATGGGATCATCAATGGAACCATGGGATCATCAACCCAACATTGGATCATCAATGGAACCATGGGATCATCAATGGAACCATGGGATCATCAACCCAACATTGGATCATCAATGGAACCATGGGATCATCAATGGAACCATTGGATCATCAACCCACCACTGGATCATCAGTGGAACCACTGGATCAACCAATGCAGCCATGGGATCATCAAGTGAACATTGGATCAACCAATCCAAACACTGGATCATCAACTCAACACTGGATTATCAACCCAACCACTGGATCATCAATGGAACCATTGGATCATCAACCCAACCACTGGCGCATCAACTCAACACTGGATCAACCAACACAACCATGGGATCATCAACCCAACACTGGATCATCAATGGAACCATTGGATCAACCAAGGCAGCCATGGGATCATCAACCCAACCACTGGAGCATCAACTCCGCCATTGGATCATCCAATCCAGCTACTGGTCATCAACTCAACCAGTGGATCATCAACTCAACACTGGATCATCAACTCAACACTGGATCATCAACTCAACCCCTGGATCGTGGAGTCCAACCAAGATCAAGTCTAACTTTGGATCATTGAACCCAACTTTGGATGCCCAAATTCCATTTCAGATTTAGATTATCCAAACCAACTCTGGATTATCCAATCCAGTTTTGGATCAAGTCCAACTCTGGATCATCAAATCCAACCTCTGGTTCAAGCCCAACCCTTGGATGATCTCATCCAACCACCAGCTCAACCCCACCTGCCACAATTCCCAGAGAACCCCACCATTCCCCAGTTCCTGGAGAACCCCAACCTTCCCCAATTCCCGGAGAATCCCAACCTTCCCTGACATCCAGAGACCCCCACCATTCCCCATCTCCAGGGGTGGCACCAAGGGGGTTGGGACCACCTTGAGATGGATCTGGGACCACCCTGAGGGACCCGAGGTGGATTTTGGGGGGTTGGGACCACCCTGAAAAAAAATGGTGGTGAAAAAGTAGCAGAAATTTGGGAAAACGGGGCAGAAATATGGAGGAAAACCACAGAAATTTGGGGAAAAGGAGCACAGGTTTGGGGAGAAGAGGCAGGAATTTGGGGAAAATGGCAGAAAATTGGGAGGAAAAGACAGGAATTTGGGAAAAAGGGGCAGGAATTTGGGGAAAAGGGACAGAAAATGGAGGAAAAGGGGCAGAAATTTGGGGCAAAGGGGCAAAAATTTGGGGGGAAAACAGAGAAATCTGAGGATAAGGGGCAGAAATTTGGGGAGAAGGGGCAGGAATTTGGGAGAAAATGAAGAATTCTGAGGAAGGAGAAGAAATATGGGGAAAAGGGGCAGAAATATGGGGGGAAAGACAGGAATTTGGGGGGAAAGGGGCAGAATCTGGGGGGAAAGGCAAGAATTTGGGGGAAAAGGGGCAGGAATTTGGGGGAAAAGGGGCAGAATTTGGGCAAAGGGGCAGGAATTTGGGGAAAGGGGCAGGAATTTGGGGCAAAGGGGCAGGAATTTGGGGAAAGGGGGCAGGAATTTGGGGAAAAGGGGCAGGAATTTGGGTAAAGGGGCAGGAATTTGGGGTAAAGGGGCAGGAATTTGGGGCAAAGGGGCAGAAACTTGGGGCAAAGGGGCAGAAATCTGGGGGGAAGGGGCAGAAATTTGGGGAAAAAGGGACAGAACTTTGCAGAAAAGGGGCAGAAAATTGGGTAAAAAGGGCAGGAATTTGGGGAAAAAAGAAAGAATTCTGAGGAAGGAGAAGAAATAGGGGGGAAAGGGGGCAGAAATATGGGGAAAAGGGGCAGGAATTTGGGAAAAAAGGGACAAATTTGGGGGAAAAGTGGCAGAACATGGGGTAAAAGGGACAGGAATTTGGGGCAAAGGGGCAGAAGTTTGGGAAAAGGGGCAGGAATTTGGGAGAAGGGGCAGGGATTTGGGGAAAAGGGTCAGAAAATTTGGGAAAAAAGGGAAGAAATTTGGGAAAAAGAGGCAGAAAACTGGGGGAAAAGGGGAAGAAATTTGGGAAAATAGGGGCAGAAAGTGGGGGAAAAGGGGCAGAAATATGGGGAAAAAGGGCAGAAATTTGGGGAAAAGGGGCAGGAATTTGGGAAAAAAGGGGCAGAAGTTTGGGAAAAAAGGGGCAGGGATTTGGGGAAAAAGGGCAGGAATTTGGGGAAAAGGGTCAGAAAATTTGGGAAAAAAGGGGCAGAAGTTTGAGAAGAAAGGGGCAGGGATTTGGGCAAAGGGGCAGGGATTTGGGAGAAGGGATTTTTGGGACTTCCCAGGTACCTTGTAGGATACATGGCCATGGAAGTGCTCCCGAACGCGGCGCAGTCAGAGCTCGCTCGGCTGCTCCATCGATGCTGCCCCGCTGCGGCACGGCGCCTCCACCCGCTCTGAGGGGAAAAACCCTTGGGAATGTTGGGAATTCCCACCCCAAATCCTGGAAATCCACCCTGGGGTCATTGGGATCCATCAAAATGGGGAGATTCCCACAGAAAAATGGGGGTTGGGCACCAAAATTGGAATTTTTCGGGGTTTTTTTCACTTTTTTTCTCATTTTTCCAGCTCCAAGTCTGCGTTCCCAGGAGGGATTTCTGCTCCAGACCCCAACTCTGAGGGGAAAATCCTGGGAATTCCCACCCCAATCCTGGAAATCCACCTGGCTTCTCTGGGATCCATGAAAATGGGGAGACTCCCGTGGGAAAATGGGGTTTGGGCACCAAAATTGGAATTTTTCGGGGTTTTTTTCACTTTTTTTTTTCATTTTTCCAGCAATAAATCCGAACTCTGAGTGGAAAAAATGTGAGGAATTTCCCCAAAATCCTGGAAATCCACCCTGGGTTCATTGGGATCCATGAAAATGGGGAGATTCCCACGGGAAAATGGGGTTTGGGCACCAAAATTTGAATTTTTCTGGGTTTTTTCACATTTTTCCAGCCCCAAATCTGCGTTCCCAGGAGGGATTTCTGCCCCAGACCCCGATTCTGAGGGGAAAAAACCTCAGGAATTTCCCCCAAATCCTGGAAATCCACCCTGGTTTTATTGGGATCCATCAAAATGGGGAGATTCCCGTGGGAAAATGAGATTTGGGCACCAAAATTTGGGGTTCTCCACTATTTCTTCCCATTTTTCCAGCACTCAACCCCAAAAAATTGGGAGAATCCTACGGAAAAATGAGATTTTGGCACCATAATTTGGGTTTTTCCACTATTTTTTCCCATTTTTCCAGCACCCAAGCCCAAAAAATTGGGAGAATCCTACGGAAAAATGAGATTTTGGCACCATAATTTGGGTTTTTCCACTATTTTTTCCCATTTTTCCAGCACCCAAGCCCAAAAAATTGGGAGAATCCTACGAAAAAAATGAGATTTTGGCAAAAAAATTTGGGTTTTTCCAATAATTTTCCCATTTTTCCAGCACCCAAACCCCCAAAAAGGAAAGAATCCTACAGAAAAATCAGATTTTGGCACCAAAATTTCTTTTTTTCCAATAATTTTTCCCATTTTTCCGCCACAATCCCAAAAAATTGGGAGAATCCTACAGAAAAATGAGATTTTGGCACCAAAATTTGGGTTTTTCCGTTTTTTTCCCATTTTTCCCCCCAGGAGCTCAGGAGAAGCGAATTTACCTGAATTCCCAGGGGCCGTGCGGGCGTGGCTCCCTCAGCCTCTGACCTTCATCTTCCACCTCACGCTGCAAAAAGCTCTGGGAAAATGGGAATTTCCATCAATTCCTCATTCCAGCCCAAAATTCCCAGTTCCGGCCCCAAAATTCCAAAATTCAGCCCCAAAATTCCCAATTCCGGCCTCAAAATTCCAAAATTCAGCCCCAAAATTCCCAATTCCGGCCTCAAAATTCCAAAATTCAGCCCCAAAATTCCAAATTCTGTCCTTAAAATTCCAAATTCGGGCCCCAAAATTCACAAATTCAGCCCCAAAATTCCCAATTCCAGCCCCAAAATTCTCAATTCAGACCCAAAATTGCAAATTCAAACCCCAAAATTCCCAATTCTGGCCCCAAAATTCAGCCCCAAAATTCCCAATTCCAGCCCCAAATTCCCAATTCCGGCCCCAAAATTCTAAAATTCAGCCCCAAAATTCCAAATTCTGGCCCCAAAATTCACAAATTCTGGCCCCAAAATTCACAAATTCTGGCCCCAAAATTCACAAATTCTGGCCCCAAAATTCACAAATTCTGGCCCCAAAATTCCACCCCAAATTCCCAATTTCGGCCTCAAAATTCCAATTTCTGGCCCAAAAATTCTGAATTCCAGCCCCAAAATTCCCAATTCTGTCCTTAAAATTTCAAATTCTGCCCCAAAATTCCCAATTCCAGCCCCAAAATTCTCAATTCTCACCTCAAAATTC